TAGGCCCCTCCCACCATGACCTGCCAGTGAGTTAGGCCCCGCCCACCCCCTCCCACACCCCCCAGGGCTCCCCCCGGGGGCCGCCCGCCCAGTGAGTTAGGCCCCGCCCACAGCCCCCAGGGCTCCCCCCGGGCCCCGCCCACTGCCTCCCAGTGAGTTAGGCCCCTCCCTCTGAGTCAAGCTCCTCCCACAGCCATCTCCCAGTGAGTTAGGCCCCTCCCACTGGCGACGCCCACGTGAGTTAAGCCCCTCCTCAGACTTCCCCAGTGAGTTAGGCCCCTCCCAGTGAGTTAAGCCCCTCCCACTGGCGATGCCCTATGAGTTAAGCCCCTCTCCAGACTTCCCCCAGTGAATTAGGCTCCTCCCACTGCCTCCCAGAGCCCCCCGGGCGCCGCCCGCCACCGCCCAGTGAGTTAGGCCCGCCCACAGCCCTCAGGGCTCCCCCCGGGCGCCGCCCGCCACTGGAGCCGCCGCCCAGTGAGTTAAGCCCCTCCCACCACCTCCCTGTGAGTTAGGCCCCTCCCAGTGAGTTAGGCCCCTCCCACCGGCGTCGCCCTGTTAGTTAGGCCCTTCCCACCACTTTGCTCTGTAAGTTAGGCCCCTCCCAGTGAGTTAGGCCCCTCCCACCATCTCCCTGTGAGTTAGGCCCCTCCCACTGTCTCCCAGTGAGTTAGGCCCCTCCCACCGCCATGTACAGGTGAGTTAGGCCCCTCCCACTGGCGACGCCCTGTGAGTTAAGCCCCTCCCAGTGAGTTAAGCCCCTCCCACCATTCCCCCCTGTGAGTTAGGCCCCTCCCACCGCCTCAGAGAGCCACCAGAAACCAAAGGGGGTGCGTTCAGGTGCCGGTTCTGTGGTGGGAAAGCCGACGTTCCTGGAGGGAATCTCATTTGCACTGACCCCCCCCAACCCCCCAAAAGCCATAAAGTCCACTCAGAGTTACTTTACTGTATTTATTCTATTTATTAATCAGGAAACAGAGGCCGCTCTGAATGTTTCCCCCTCTGAACGGCTCACAGAGCACAAACGGTTTAGTTTATCCTGCACAAAACTATTCAAAGTGCTCACAAAGGATTTAAAAACAGAAAAAGATTACCAAAAACAAAACAAACTAGATAAAGACAAAAACATCCAGTCAAACAGATGTTTTCAGCTGGATTTAAACATCCAGAGCTGAGCTCCTTCTGTCCTGGTCCAGGTTTAACTGGACCGGAGCCTCTCCTGGTTCGGTTCTGGTTCTGGTTCTGGTCTCCTGCTGGGCCCCAGAGGTCCTCTACTGGTTTCTGAGCTCCTGGAGCTCCGCCTCCAGTCACTTTTAGAGGAGGGGGGGGCAGAAAGGTCCGACTTGCAGAGGTTTGTTTACAAAGAATGTTTACTGTTAGCCGTGACTCTGTCGCCCCCTGGTGGTGAGACCACGCCACCTCCCCTCAGACCTCCTGATTTCCTGCTCCGCCCCTTTATTTATTTATCCCTGAGCCTTTTTCCGTTGCACTGAACACGTCCAGGAGGCTCCACAGCCGGATGAACGCCAGACTCGAGTCGTTTTTGTGTTAACGGAGGATCGATATTCAGAGGTGGAGCTAAAACTGTAACGGACGATAGCCAGTTCAGCATTCAGAAGCCGGCCGATGCTCTTCTCTCTTTGTATTTTGTGTACCTCACGACTTTAGAGATTAATAACTGTGTATTGGAACATGCTTGCCAACACAACGCTTAGATAATGAAATCCTGTAAATGCCATTTTGACTGTATGAAGGAGGCCTTATGTGTCCTCAGCTTAAGGAAACCGCAAAGAAACGGTTTGGAAACAAGCTTTTAGTGCTCACAATCGTTTAAACACGGGCGTTTACAAGAAGTAGGAAAAGCCAATTTTTGATTGAAATGAATGTAAAGAAGTGATCTTTTGAATTTGAAGACATTCCCATAAATATTTTCATATAAACCAGGTGTTTGTGTTTTTACTGAAATGCACACGAGTTCGAAAACGAGCATCAATTATTAATTATTGTTATATTATCATTAGGAATTAATTTATTTGGAAATTTTTATTGTATTTTTTATATCAATCATGTAATTAATCTAACACCTGCATTTTTTAAATTTATACATATGTGTATATATACATTTTTTTAATTAAAAGGCTCAAAATTAACATCCTCAACCAAAATTATTTAAATATAAACGTGCACCTGCATCAGCTGGACTGTGCACATTATTAAAGGCCAAACCAAAGGCAGCGGACACAGTCAGATAGATAGATAGATAGATAGATAGATAGATAGATAGATAGATAGATAGATAGATAGATAGATAGATAGATTATTATTTGGTTATCCACACGTGGTGACCATTAAAGGAATCAGCCTGATGGTGGACTGGTGCTACGACCCCCTGAAGCCTCTACTTGTTCTTTTTTGGGGGCCTTTTGTCTTGATCTGAAAGAAAATACAAACATTTATTTTTAAATTTACATGTTTCATGCTCTTCTGTTTTATTTCTCCACATTTATGACAACATCAAACTATTGAAATCAAACTATTTACATCAAAGAAGCTGTTTTTTTTACAAAAAACGTCTCTAGATTTTATCCCTGATTCCAAAGGAAGGAAACAAATTATTTAGTCTTGTTTCTTGGGGAAATGACTTGTTCTTTTTCTCTTAAAATAATGTTTTTAAAATCTGAACAGTTTGCGAAACACATTGACTTGAATAATGTTTTAGCTGAATGGCAAAATATCGCAGCACCATCTGTTGTCATTTTTTACAACTAAAGCTAAAAACCTTTCCCAGGTCAAATGTAAGAATTTGTCCTCTATAAAAGATGTTTTGTGGCATAATGGCTAACAGACACAGTCAATATTAAACTAACAGAGTTTTAGCTTTGGGACCATAACATTTATATAAAACTGAGACTAAACTTGTGCCATAGAAGCTTGAAATGATCAAGCAAATATCTATTTTTTCAGGGTTTTGTGAGTAAAAAATAATCTAGATTATTCTAGAAAATAATGTTGATTTTTGTGTATAATTTTTTATGATCTCATAAACTAAGATAACTTTTTATTTTCTCATAAACTAACCAGTTTTTATGATCTCCTCAGCTGACAGTCAGCTCACTGTTGAATTCTCGGATCTCATTTTATTTTAGCTTAATAAATAATGAATCCAAAGGACTGTGGAGGCTGTTTGGTGTGACTCACTTTTGGGGGGTCCCTGAGATGGAGGGGGGTCCCCGGAACTGCCCGACAAACTCTGATTGGACCAGGCTGCCTGTGACAGGAGGTCAAAGGGCGTTCGGACCGGCTGGAGGAGGGGCTGCAGGGGGGGGCGGCCGGGACTTTTGGCCCTGGAGCGATGCTGTGCAGGCTTTGCTAAATCAGACAATATCGGAATGATTTCACCCAAAAAGACAGAAATATTTGTGAGAAGACACCTCTGAGGTTCAGTTTCCAAACTAGGCCAAACCAAAACAAAAGAATGATAGAATAAAGAATACTGTATGGTCCACGGGAAATTAAATTAATTAATCATAGTGTATTATAACAATGAAAAATAAATATATATATATATATATATATATATACTGTATATATATATATATATAAATATATGAATTTACTGTACATACATTCACTTTTAAAATTTAATTTAATTGATTTGATTCTATTTATTTATTATAGATACTGTATATATAAATACATTTAACAAAATAAATCAGAATAAAATATATACAAAAATATTCATTATAATTAATATACATATATGAATTTACTGTATATACATGCATTAAGATTTCATTTATTTAATTCAATTTATGTATATATACACTATGTATATATAAATACATTTGACAAAATAAATTAAACTAAAATATAAAAGAAATATTCATTATAATTAATATATATATATGTATATATGAATAAATAAAATGTTGAGAAATGTATTTGAATTATCTCATGTAAAATTAGACAGTTAAGTCAATTAAAATAAAAAGGCTACTACCAACCGATTTCTGGCTGGGAAACAGCCCTTTCAGGCCCTGAAGTGGAACCATCTTGACCACCTAAAAAAAGGGGGAAAAAGGGTAGAATAGCCTTAATTGTTTTAATCAAACCCCTTCATTAATGTCTCGTTCACCAAACATCTCAAAACGATGTGCAACAAGGCTCTGACCGGAGAAAACATGCGTTTTCAGAGGACGTGACCTTTGACCTCTCAGTCAGAGGACAGTCTTCCCATCAGGGCTTTGCAGAGAAACGTCCCACAGAGGCGGGGCTCCTGAACTCACCTCCCGCCGCCGCGTCGGGGCCAGGTTCTGCAACCGGGGGGGGGAAAAGGCAAGGCAAGTTTATTTTGTATAGCACATTTCGTGTACAAGACAATTCAACGTGCCTCACAGAGAATTTAAAAGCAGAAAAACAAGAAAAGAAAAATAATCAACACAATAAGGACAACAGCAACAACAACAACAATAACTGACGATCGTCAACACAAACACGTATGGGATCCCGTCACACTAAACTAATACTTTTTCCTCGGCCCCTGGCAACAAGGGTTGTTTACTTTTGATCGGCCCCTAGCAACCATCCAATTTCTTTAATCGATCGGTCCCAGACAACAATCTAATTTCACTTCGGTCCCATACAAAGAGGATCTCTACTAAACAGCGCTTTTGTCACTCACAGATTTTTTAATTCAATTTATTTATATATACACTATGTACACATTGGACCAAATAAATCAAACTAAAATATACAGTGGGGGAAATAAGTATTTGACCCCTTTTTGATTTTGCAGGTTTGCCCACTTACAAAGAATGCAACGATCTATAACTTTAATCATATGTACATTCTAACAGTGAGAGACAGAATCCCAAAGAAGATTCCAGAAAATCACATCATATGAATTTATAAAAATTGATAACCATCTGATGAGGAAAAATAAGCATTCTTTGTAAGTGGGCAAACCTGCAAAATCAGCAAAGAGTCAAATACTTATTTCCCCCACTGTATATAAAAATATTCATTATATTTAAAATATATATATATATATATATATTTATATGTATGGATAAATAAAATGTTGAGACATTTTTTTTAATTATAACAAGTGATGTCACCTGGTCTGAGCAGAGAGACTCTGGCCTCGAGGGGCTGGGCCAGCAGCGCCACCAGACCGGCCCTCAGGGCGGACGCAGAGCCCTGGATGACCGCCAGCTTTTCAGAGTCCAGGCTGACTCTGGGCGTGTAGGGGTCAAAGTTCACCACCTTTGGCAGTTCATAGGAAGCCTGGAGGGAACAGGAGCACAACAAAGTCTCAGACCTAGACTCTAATCAAGCTAGCTTTCACTAGGCCTCTTTTGTGGCTGTGGATTGCCTTTTAAGACGTTTAAGACGTCTATAGACGTCAATTCAAATACAACCTTTGACTGTCTATAG